ACTTTTACTTGAAAAATCTTTTACTCATCTACAAAAGTGAATGAAAAAAAACTGCTAAATAGATTCAAAATTGTGTCCTGCGTTTTAAAATACCCAGTGTTTACATGCTTTTTTGCTTATTTTTGCAAGCTATAGGGCTATAGGTACAAGTAGGATATTGCAGTTTCAAAACATAAAATTTTTCAATAACATCCACATGTACATATTTTTTTTTTTTTTTTTTTAAAGTAGACAACCCAGGGTATTCAATATGGGGTATGTCCAGTCTTTTTTTAGTAGCCACCTAGTCCAAAACACTGGCTAAAGTTAGCGTTCATATTTGTTTGTGTGTGAAAAAAGTAAAAAAATTAAATTTAACGCTAATTTTGGCAAGTTTTTGTGACTAAGTGGCTACTAAAAAAGACTGGACATACCCCATTTGCAATACCTTGGGTTATCTTCTTTTGCAAATGGAATGCCATCATGGGGGTAATTTTCATTCCTGGGATACCATACGCTCTCAAAGGCAACGTAACCAACTTGGCCATTTTCAATTTAAAAATATTTGACCCATATATTTTACCCTGTAACTTTCAAAAACGCTATAAAATCTGTACATGGGGGGTACTGTTATACTCGGGAGACTTTGCTGAACACAAATATTAGTGTTTCAAAACAGGAAAACTTATCACAACAATTATATCATCAGTAAAAGTGCTGTTTGTGTGTGAAAAATGCAAAAAAAGTCACTTTCACTGACAATATCATCGCTGTGATATGTTTTACTGTTTTGAATCACTAATATGTGTTCAGCGAAGTCTCCCGAGTAAAACAGTACCCCCCATGTACAGGTTTTAGGGTGTCGTAGAACGTTACAGGGTAAAATACATTGCTAGCAAATTAAATTCTCTGGAATTTCGGCCTGGGTTGGCAGGCAGGTCCCTCAAATTGCAATCAATAAAATTACTTAATTATGTAAAAATATTACATAAATACGCATGTAGAATTTAAATATATAAGCATATTTATATATTTGAAGTCTACGTGTATATTTATATAATTATTTATGTTATTTTGTATATGGACATATGTATATTTCGTATTATTTTATTTATTTATATATACAATTTCATTCTAAGTGTATTTTGATATATATATATATATATATATATATATATATATATATATATATATATATATATATATATATATATATATTTTAATATCAAAATGCAGTTAGAATAAAATTTCATATAGATATATATATATATTTTAAATTTGTATTATTTTAATTTTTTAATTTAATTTATTTGTATTTTATAATATATACAATATATAGTTATTATATAGTATATATATATGCATGTGTGTAATTTAATTATAAGTGCATTTTTATATTAATGTAAGTACATATTAATATGAAAATACACTTAGTATGACATTATATATATATAGGATATATAGATATATGTAGATATATATCTATATATCATATATATATATATATATATATATATATATATATATATACACACATATATAATTATTATTATTTTATTATTAAGATTAAGTTATTTTTTTATTTTACACTTGAAGGGAGAGTGCCTCAACTGTGTTGAGTGATCACATGGCCCCATGGGTCCTAATCTGCCGTGGGGAGACTGTCTGGGCTGCAGGTAGTCTCCCCATAACGGGAGCACCGCCAATCGCTGCCAGGGGAGCGACGGCGATCGGGTAAGTACATCTGACCTTTAGGACGGTTCAGGACCATCACTGGTTGGCAACGCAAAAATGTTGATGACGGTCCTGAACCGTCCTCTGCCCTGAAGGGGTTAAATGCCTTGTTTGGCCAAAAAAATGTAAATACTAATAATAATAATAATAATAATTAAGATAAAATGAAATGCACAATTTGGTTTACTCTTGCTTTAGCATAACACAAATTGACTGAAATGAGAAACTACCAGTGGCGTACATACTAGGGTCGCAGGGATCGCGGCTGCGACCGGGCCCGGCCCACCAGGGGCCCCGGCCGCTCCTGCGACCCGGTATGTACCCACTGTGACCAGCCTCTTCTCCTGGTCCCCCCGAGGCTGGCCCTGCTGTCACCCCATGGCAGGTCCTGCGGGCGTGCGAGGGAGCACTCTCCCCTGAGTGCTTCCTCTTCAGCTCCCTCACAGGCCGCGTACTGATACTGGAGCCAGAATTCCTACACGGTGCGCAAGGGAGCTGAAGAGGAAGCACTCAGGGGAGAGTGCTCCCTCGCGCGCCCGCCAGCCTGCCCACCCGCCCAGTGACCGGCTGCTCAGGAGCCCAGTAGCACCACTGGACCCCAGGGAATCCCCTCAGCACTCCAAAAGGTAAGGAGGCTGGGGGATTACATTTAAAAAAAAAAACGCCCAGCAGCCAGCCCATCAGCCCGACCGGCATGTCGGTTAAAACGTCCCTGTAGCTAGTGTGTATGCGTCTGTTCGTGAGAGTGTGTGTCTTCAGCACTTACCTTTCTCCAGCGCCAGACTCCCTTGGCGCTGGGGATCCCTCCGCCTCTCAGCTCCGAATGCACATGCGCGGCAAGAGCCGTGCGCGCATTCAAACCACCCATAGGAAAGCCTTACTCAATGCATTCCTATGGACGTTCGGTGTCTTAGAATTGTGGAAGCTCCTCTAGCGGCTGTCAGTGAGACAGCCACTAGAGGCTGGATTAACTGTCAGTGAAACATAGCAGTTATGTTTTCAGCTGCAGGGTTAAAACAAGAGAGACCTGACACCCAGACCACTTCATTGAGCTGATGTGATCCGGGTGTCTCTAGTGGTCCTTTAAGTGTGCATCTGCATGCACTGGCGTACATACCGTGGTCGCGGCCCTAAAAACCCCTGCGACCAGGTGCCCACCGTTATGTGTTCCGGCCCGCGCAGAGTAAGAGACGCGGATCAATTTTCGCACCGGGGCCCCATGGGTCATGTGTACGCCACTGGAATCTACTTTTGTGTTTTCTATGAAAACATATTTAGCTTGTGCTTTTCATTTGGTTCCATTAACTGTTGCTTCATTAGTGATCAGCAAATGGATATAATCTGGTTGGTTTCCTTCAATTTAATTTCAGCGCATCTACAAATACTCATTCTGCTTTGATGTTCCATTAGATTAAAATTCATGTTCCTGCTCTTCATTAAAACTAGGTTGTGCTAGATTTGTATTCTATTGTTTTCATGTTGATAGGGTTTCTGTGCATCATAGAAAGGAACAATTGCTGATTTAATCTCTCTTTCTCCATGGCAAGTTAATGGATTAGTATTAAAATTAAGTTTTATTTTCTGTCTGTGGCTGCTCTTCCCCTGAGAGATCTGAGTAATGTTTTTAGGCAATTAAGCTCAAAACCAAACACTTGCTTCAGCAATAGAAAGTTAAAATATAAGGGTGAGAATATAAATGTGTACATAATTAGTATCTTGCGAAATGCGAAATGTTCTAGTTAAATAAAGTTTGTTATGATTAGTGTTTTGCATATTTCTCCCTGACTGCCCTGTACCAAGGAAATTTGCACAGATGTTTGTATATTATTTATATATATATATATATATATATATATATATATATATATATATATATATATATATATATATATATATATTATTATTATTATTATTATTATTATTATTATTATATATTTTTTTTCCAACAATGGAATTACAGAGGATGACAAGCTTTCAGGAGACTTAATTTCTGAATTCTAAAGCTTAGTGCCTAAAATGCAGAAATCTATTAAAATTATAATATTGCAAGTATGGGGTTCATTCAGTTTTGCTACTTCCTTCCTTCCTTTTTTTTTTTTTTTTCAATGCATTGTGATATATTATATGAAAATATACACACGCAAACTGTCAATTTTATTGAAAATGCTTGTGATTAGTGAGTGTGTTTGCTGGATTCCGTATATGTTGTGTATGTGTGTATATATATATATATATATATATGTGTGTGTATGTATGTATATGTATATCCATGGCAGCACAACAATGGGTAGCTCCTCCTATCCCCAGGTAGACAGGAACTTAATTAAATCCAAAAGAATCGCACCTAGATACAGTTCAAAAGTCCAGGAGCTGTTATACCCAATAATGGCTTGTGCATATATACTTATATTGTATATGGAATGACTTGCATCGGTTATTCAAATATGGCACCAATATGTATGGTGTGTACAGCTTTAAATCTGCTAAAGGCAGATCCAATATAGTATACACCAAAATAATCTACTTAGCTTAGGTAGTTGGATAATAAAGAATGACAGCATAAACCGCTGTTTTCTCTTATGTGTTGAGATACGGTGGTACTATTAATCCAGATCAATATCTCTTTAAATCAATTGGTAATAGATTGACTAAATAGTGTGCTAAGAATATTACTTGTAGTTATATAGACCTAATATAGGTACTGAAAAGAATGTAATTTAAATTACAAAAAAACTTGTAAAAGATTAGAGAAAAACCACTAAACTCTAATACTTAATGATAAAACTTGAAAAACTTCTAGTGATCAAAAAATGTATTAATTATAATCCAAAGGCATATCAAAGAATAATAAAAAATGTATAAAAAAAGTAAAAAATATATAAAAATATGGGTCAGGAACGGTTAGCAAAAGAGTTACCAGCAGAAGGATGATATTGTTCTCTACACATTCACAGAGTCCGGCTAGGATGGATATGGATTTAATGTAGCAGAAATGTATCTCTGTACTTGCCGGTTGCCGAACAGATTGGCGTGCGTCCCAGACCTCACTCTGGGTGGTAGGTCGGTCCCCTGATTGATGGTTCTCTCTGGTTGAGGGAGAGAAATTCCTTCTGCCGGTTTAGCTTTGCTCCGTATCCTG